TGGGTGAGAAGCCCTTCCCAGGACCGTGTCCAATGGAGCCTCTCCACAGGGTCCTGTCACTGGGTCACAGTGAGATGGAATCTGAGTGGAGGTGACAGGGACTGAGGGAAGGCACGGGTGAGTGTGAGCAAACACAACAGGCAGGACGCTGCAGAGTCACAGAAGATCAGCAACTCCAGTGCCCAGCATGTCAGAAAAGAGGGAGACACAGAGCCACCCACTGAGAACATCACCTTACCTGAGCCAGAGCCATTCCTGAGTCCTTTCCTTTCCTCTTCCTGCGCTTTCAGGCTTCCTGTTCACTTAACATGAGTCTGCAGAAGTCAATCCTGAAAGATACAAATATGCTGCTGGATGCGGAGAATGTACACAACCTATTCCTGGCCCACAACCACACACACAAGACACACACAAGACGTCTGCCCTGTGGACAGACAGTCCCCTGCCGCCCGCTGCACCACGGGGGATGCAGGGACAATAAACTCCTACAGGACGACAAACTAGTGAGTCTATGACCCCTTTCATCTGAACCTGGTCCCCGCCTGGTGAAGCCCACACGCACGCTGCAGCAGGGGGGAGCTGGGCTGGGCTGAGCTCCCCTCCAGGGCACAGACCCACCCTGACCAAACCGGATGCAGAGCACAGCCCCCCTCACCCCACTGTAGATCCTGGGCAGAGCTAAGGCCTCAGAAATGGAGGACACAGAGCTTTGATTCTCTATGCTGGATACAGAATAGAATCAATTTCAAGCATTATTGAAACTCAGGCGCAGTCTGAGAATGTGTGTGGGAATCTCTGGCTGAGCCCGGCACCTCCTGCGTTGTGACTTTCTCTCTCCCTGGGGCCTTGTCACCACTGTCCAGAAAATGGAAGAAGGAGCAAAAAGAAACATGGAGAGCTGTAATGTGGTACTTAGGTGGCGGTGAGGGTGTGGCTGGAATGGTGAATGGGGATGGGTCACAGAAGTCCCAACTGAGAAGGTGACATCAAAATAAACACCTGGGGAACAAAGCGTGTTGGTCGCCTGCAGCTGAGGGGCCTGAGAGTTCTAGGCAGAGGGACAGCCCACCTGGAGACCCTGAGGCAGGAGCCACCTTGGCCACAGGAAAAGGGAAGAGGCCTGTGTTGCTGGAGCGGAGCGAGGACGACACAAGCAGGAGATGAGGCCAGAGAGGTCCTGGGGGAGCAGAGCAGGGAGGGCCAGGTCTGCACACATTTCTCTCGTAGACTCAATAGAATTACGGAAATGATATATTTCTTCACCTGTCTTGAGAAAACAATTTTTTCATTATTAAGTAAAATTACAAACAATGTACTATCTCCTACATTATAAAATATGCTGACACATTTAGCTAAGCCCCAGAAGTATAAGATCACTCTCACGTAAGATGTGGGACTGCAGGGAACACATCTGGGGGGAGTTCAGAATGTCCCTCTTGGACATATGAAGAGGGAGGTGCCTGTTAGATGACCAGCAGAGATGTCACAGAGACAACCAGACACAGGATTCTAGAGTTCTGGGGAGAGGTCTGCAGGGGAAATGGAGACCCACAGGTGGCGTTTATACCATGAGATGAGATGATAAGGAAAGGCAGTGGGTGACAGAGATGGGAAGACATTAAAGGACTGAGCCTTGGACACTGCCACACTCAAGAGAACAGGGAGTTCATGAGACACCAGGACAGGAAAGTGTAAATTCATCAGGGAGGCGATAAGAAAATTAAAATAAAGTTGTAATGGTTAGTTGAATGTCCTGAAGGCAAGAAGAAAAAAGAGGGAGCAATCAACTGTGCAACATCCTGCCAACAGGAAAAGAAAGATGAGCACAGAAAATTAAAGGTCGGATTTAGAAATGGGCAGGTCCCTGGTGACTGTACTAGATTCTTAAATGAAACACAGAAGAACGTTACTTACTACTGTGAAATACATAGTTCATAGAGAATATTTTGTTTTAAAATGGAAGAATGAACGGAACAAAAATCCTTACATACTGTGTGTATATTTTAATAGACAGTACCTCCATCTGGGTGCAATGACCAAAATAATTCCCTAGATGTAAAAATCGATGACGCTGTGAAGGAAGGATGCCACGCCATCCGGAGACTGTGAGTAGGCGGCAAGTGGCACATAATCGCAGGGCCAGCGACAGCCAGGAGCAGGGACAGACCATTCCCCGGCATACTGAGTAGAGACCACAGGCCCTGACACAGGGGGCCGGGCCTGTGGGGGAAGCTTTCTTCCTTTGCTTCCAGGGGCTCAATGGAGAGAGAAGTAAGGTCTTTGAGAGAAAAAGATGGAAGAGAAAGAGTGAAACTCTACTCAGAGGTTCACAGTCCCTATTTTACCAGATCAAGTAAAAAAAGTCACCGTCGTCTGGCCGAATAGGGACTGCAAGCGAAAGACAGATTCTGACGCCGTAATTACAAAATGCACGTGTCTTACAGACCGGACTTTCCAATTCTCACCCTTGACTGTGTCATCGAAACAAGTGTTGACTGTATTAGATGACAGAGAAAGAAACGAACACACCCCGACGTAACCGTCACATCATCGCTGCCCACGGTCGCGCTGGCCTCCTCCGCGGGCGCGCAGGGAGAGCGGCGGCTGCGAGGGGAGGCCTGGGCGCCGAGGGCGGCGGGTCCGGGCGGGCGCGCGGTGCAGGCCGGGAGGGCGCGGCTCTCCTGAAGGGGCAGCGGCGCTGACGAGGGCGCGCTCGGGCCGGAAGGCGGGAGCGCGGCAGCCCGTCGCAGCTTACGCGGGCGGGGCTGGCAGCCGGCGTCACCGGAAGGTTCTAGACGGGAAAACGCGCCCACGGCGGCGGGTTCTGTGTGGCCCGAAAGTGGCGAGACCGAAGGCAGACGCGGTTCTCAGGACGACTGTCCCCAACGCGAGGCGACTCCCGGACCGTCCGAGGTGTGTGTGGTGGCGGGACGCCCGGGATGTGAAGGGCTGCAGGCACTGCCCGCCCTGCACGGACGACGCCGAGCGCCAAGCGCAGGTTTCCCCTCAACCTAGTAAGAGAAAAACCCTCCCGCCAGGGCGTCACCCGCCCTCCGCGCCCTCCGCTGCGGTGTGTGGGACCTGGTGAGCGCCCTGGGGGCGGGGCTGGTGCAGGGCAGGGGCAGAGTCCGGACGCTCCCGGCAGGGCCATGGCCCCATAATCCCTGGGCGGAGCGCGAGCGGACGGCGGGGCCAAGGCGCCATAATCCCTGGGCGGGGCGCGAGCGGCGGGGCTATGGCCCCATAATCCCTGGGCGGGGCGCGAGCGGACGGCGGGGCCGAGGCCGGGTCTGGACGGGGCCTGCGCATCCGGGCACCTCGCTAACTGTGAGACTGTTTTCCGAGTTTGAGAGACCAGTCCTCCCCACTTACCCTCAGGGGACATGTTCCAAGACTCCCAATGGATACCTGAAACCTCAGATAGTATCAAACCACACATATGCTATGTTTTTTCTATATGTATGTACCTATGGTAAAATTTAATTTATAAATTAAGCACAGTAAGAGACTAACAACAATAATAAAATAAAACAATTATAACAATATACTGTAAAAACAAAAAAAGCGACTAGTACTGCACCATACTGTAAAAACAAAAAAAGCAACTAGTACTGCCTGTGGGGCTGGAGCACCTAGCTGGGATCTCGCTGCCAGTGTCAGTGTGAGTCGGTAATTGGATTCAGGAATGTTCGTGCTGTCAGAATTCATTTGAGTAATTTAATTTGAACCCGGTGCAGTATTCTGTTAAGGGGATGCAGTCCAGAGAGCAAAATGCAAAACACTGGGAAGAATGTGGAATTCTTTTTTTTTTTTTTTCTTTTTTGAGACAGAGTCTCACTTTGTTGCCCATGCTGGAGTGTGTGGCGTCAGCCAAGCTCACAGAAACCCCAAACTCCTGGGCTCAAGCAGTCTTTCTGCCTCAGCCTCCCAAGTAGCTGTGACTACAGGCATGCGCCACCATGCCCAGCTAATTTTTTCTATATATACTTTTAGTTGGCCAATTAATTTCTTTGTGTTTTTAGTAGAGAGGGGATCTTGCTCTTACTCAGGCTGCTTTTGAACTCCTGACTGTCCTTCTCTGATTACAGGATGGGGGATGACACACAGAACATACACATAAGATGCAGACAGACAGAATTGGCTGCAGTCCCAGAAGAATAAGGGACACAGAGACAAGACACAGTTTGAGACTGCAGAACAGAAATACACTAGTCGTTTTATTTACATACAGTTTAATTGGGGAAGCATCCCGCAGCTATTTTCTCATGCCAGCTACGTTCCCAGCTACTTATTGGTACATGACTTCCCATGGCCAACAACACCTGCTTTTCCAGTCAAAGCAAAAAAGTATGGCCTTGTATAAGACACCACATTTGATGTCTGACACTGCTTTCAGATAACAATCTCAGCTGGAGTGCGAGACCACAAGTCCTTGGCCACCTTGCAGCGCCTAGCACCCTGTGCTGGTTACCAGGCAACCTTGGCTCACATGGGAGGCCACGGGTGCTTGGCCTTTTCCCTGGAGCAACAGTTCCTTCAGCCCGTCAACAAGCCACATCCTGTTGATTGTGGGAACAAGCAATGGACTCCCGTTCTGCTGAATTTGGGTCTCAGCCAATCTGACCCAGGGACAGCTCACTTCAGCTCACTTGATCTCCCCCTATTATTTTAATTATTTAATTATTTAAAATAATTATTTAAAATAATTATTTAATTATTTTAATTTTTGAGCACGGATATGTTGAAAAACCATCCTGATATCGTAAGACTGTTCTTTTCTTTTTACTTAGTGGTATGCACACAAACTGGAAAATGTGGAGGAAATGCACAAATTTCTAGAAACACACAGCCTCCCTAGGTTCAACCAGGAAGAAATAGATTTCCTGAACAGACCAATCTCAAGAGCTGAAATAGAAATAGCAATTAAAAATCTCCCTAAAAGAAAAGTCCCAGTCAAGATGGTTTCACACCCAAATTTTACCACACTTACAAAGAACTAGTACCTATCTTGCAGAAATTATTCCACAACATCGAGAAGAATGGAAACCTCCCCGACACCTTTTATGAGGCGAATGTTACTCTGATACTAAAACCAGGAAAGGATGCACCAAAAAAAAAAAAAGAAAACTACAGATCAATATCCCTAATGAATATTGATGCAGAAACTTTCAACAAAATCTTAGCTAATTGAATCCAGACGGTTATCAAAAAATAATTCATCACGACCAAGTGGACTTCATCCCAAGGATGCAGGGATGGTTCAACATACGTAAATCTATAAATCACCATATAAACAGAAGCAAAAACAAAGACCACATGATTCTTTCAATAGATGCAGAAAAAGCTTTTGACAAAATTCAACACCCTTTCATGATACGAACAC